CTCTCTCTCTCTCTCTCTCTCTCTCTCTCTCTCTCTCTCTCTCTCTCACCATCTCTCGGTATCTCTTGTACTCTCCCTCTGCGTGCCAGTTTTACAGATGAGCTCAGACAAGGTGTTTTGCTCTAGCGCACTGCAACGTCCTCGCTGCTTTCTTGTCAAAGTGTGCGTGTGTCTGTGTGTTAACTCTGTTAAGGCTTTTCGTGTATTAACACTCCACTCAGTTATCCATTTTCTTGGAAGAGTGGCATTTTAATAGCGGACATGTTCAAATGCAGAATGAGCGAGCCGGAGAAAGTAACGGGAGGAATGAGAGATGGGCAATAAAAGCAACGAGAAAAAGCTGGGGGGAAAAAGGAAAACAGATGCTCCTTGTTGTCGAGCAGACAAACATTTTTGCGGGCACTTTATTTGGTAACCATGGAGAGTGAAGTGGTAATTGGTCCGTCTCCCGGCCGTGCCAATGCTACATGCTCTTGTCACATTCCCTCCTTCACTGTGGAGCCAAACGGCCAGAGTCCAGACACGGTGTTTAGCGCTACTGAATAAAGGGGGGGGATTAAGTCTGCCATTTGATAGCTCTTTTTTTGAAGTGGCTGTTGGATCTATACTGTTTACACAAAGACACAGCATACCAGGGTTTCTCCTGGGTTTTCCAGGCACAGCACCAGGAGCTCCCACTTTGGCTTTGTAGCAACATGGCTTTTGTATCCTCGATGCTGCGAAACCAAACCTGCTGACATTGATTTCTTAACGCAATTAAAAACCAAAACAAACTGTCATGGTAGTTTGTCAAGTTGTTCTTCGCCAACCAAACATACAGCTTGCTATGATGTCATTCTGTTAGCTCCTGCAGCCCACACAAGCTAATACTCAAGTGCGGTTTCATGTGATGGGTAAGCTTGTCGCATCTAATCGGAGAGATTCGTTCCTACGTCCCAGAGTTCAATGTGATTATTTATCGTGAACAAAAAAACAGGAGATTTAGTCATCCTCAAATTGTATGGAGAGTGTCTCGTACAATAAATCTTTATAAATCATTCATTCATGTCTCAGCATGAGTTAAATTCTCGGTGAGTGAAATATAAATCTCGAGAAAGGCTGAGAGTGTGTTTTTTTCTCTCTCTCCTCAGTCAGTACTCAGTCCCATAAAAACAGTGGGAACCCTTCCTACCTTCTAACTTCAGCTATCGAGTTTATGTTGCATTTCACGGCACATAAATCTTTATGACTGTTTCTCTCTCCACAGACGGTGGATAGGCCGAAGGATTGGTACAAAACTATGTTCAAACAGATCCACAAGGTTCACAAAGCAGGTACGTCTGTGCTGTCTCACACTGAAAGGCAGAAATGTCCCATTATGTGTTGTGATTTGATCATCAGACATTGGAAATTGGCCAAGCATGCATGCTGTGTACCTGTGTGTGTGTGTGTGTGCATCTTTGTGTGCGTGTATGTATGTGTGTGTGTGTGTGTGTGTGTGTGTGTGCGCATGTCGATTCTTATTAAACCAAAAGACCCAGAGAACTTCAGAGCCAGACCTCATTACATGAGAGCAAGAGGAGTCTGGAGAGGAGGAGGAATTGAGAGAAGCCTCTAATAGACACAGAGCTGTCCTGGGAAATCTGTTCTAATTTTATAGGCTTGACAGAATCACACACAGCTCAAAGCTTTGTTTGTTTTAAACTGCTCAGGCTTCTTCTACTGCAGCACACACACTGTTTCATGACTGTGTGTGCCTAAAAACATCCACAGGCCTCTTCTTGATGCATCTTGGAGAATTTCCATGACAACCTGAGTACTCGTATATTCTAGGTGAATTTATAAAGTAATATTCCAGTCCCACCAAAGTCTACTGATCTTTCGAGTGAGTCCATGAAGGTTTAAAGAGTCTAAAAAATGTGTAGTTTCATCATGTGGAGAAAACAACAGTTTTTTAAACCTTTGCCTCTGTGAGCTGCTACGGCCCTTCTTGTACCTCAAAAAAAAGACATATTGGAAAAACACTGCTGAGCTTGTGGATGGACGGAGGTGAAGTGGTTCATGCTACTTGACCAATCAGTGTTTGTTCCGTTCTTCTACAGATGATGACTATTCTGACACATACAACGCAACATATGCTGTCATAAACAACGGTGAGAGATGCTGTACGCGTGACAAAAGTTGCTTATATTCCATTTCTTCCCCGACCCATTTGTCTCCTCCTGTCTGGCTTTGATCTGCCTCATTACTTCTCCCTCCTCTCTCTCCCCTGTCCTGTCCTTAACAGATGACTACAGCCTGACATCCCATGCCACCATGGCCCACCCTGCTCCCCGGACACATACGTACAGGCCACTCGCCAAAAGCCCCTCGGACAACGGAGGGCATCCGGGCCCTCGTGAGCCTCCGCCGTCCCCTGTACCCCCACCACCTCCGCCCATGCCATCTCTCCTCCAGCTGAGGGCCAGAGACAGCGACCGTGAGAGAGACTCGCCTGACGCGTACGAGGAGCTTTGCCTTATCTCTTTCATGATTCATTTAAAAGATTGATTAACTTTGATTTCGGGCTGTTTTCTAAGAAGCATGTTTTGGTTTTTCTTGCACCAGGAATGAATGGGGTCCTCCCAACAGGAAGGTGGACACACGAAAGTACCGCGCAGAGCCTAAGAGCATTTTTGAGTACGAGCCGGGAAAGTCCTCCATCTTGGAGCATGAAAGACCAGTGAGTATATTTGAAAATGTTCTTTCATTTGATTATATTTACATTTTTCTGTTCGAATCCACCGAAGTGATTTCTGTCGCTTTTGTTGCTTTTTATTGTTCAGTAAAATGTTCATTCTGTTGCTAAATAGAAGGTTCACTTTTGAAGAGGTAAACAACTAAACATTAAGCAACACGAAGTGAAATAACACCGCAGAGCTACGGCACATAATATAACTGGATGGTCGAATTGAGAAAAGAGTTTCAAGCACATGTACCTTTAATGTGTTTTCATATTATGGGCTTTTTGCATGGACTTCATTCCGTCAAGCACGGCGTGGGCATTAAAAAGCGAAAGGTTTCCAGTGCTGCATCCTCTAGTGACTGTACTGGCTGTTCACTGCGTGTAGGGTGAATGACAAAGCCGACAGCAGAGATAATTACTGTGTAGAGGGAGGGAACACATACTAGACATAATGTATCTGAGATGGAGGCTAATGGAGACGCTGTTGTAGATGAGGGGTCTGTTACGTGGGAGAAGATTAAACAGAAAAAAAGGTATTAGTGAAGGTTTTTGCAGACGTTTAATGTGATGACTGCAGAGAGCTCTCTCAGGCGATAATGCATGAGTCAGTTCCTGATAAGGCAATAAAAGGAGAAAGCTGAAGAGTAGAAGTCAACCCACGCTGGCTAATCTGCTGTCTGAGACTCTGTTTTAGAAGCTTTTTTTTCTCCACTGTCCATGGTAACAAATGGCTCCTAAAAACATCCTGTTCAGTGGTGAAGTGTCCAATTGTGTCAAATTATGAGGCCACAGGAAACAAAAAAATGTTTTTCTGCCACTCTGTTTCTTTAGTTTCCTTTTTTTTCCTGCCCGTGTCTACAGAACTTGTGTGAGTGGCAGTTTCTGCTCTTAGTTCTCGCTTTTTTCCAGGGTGACTCATGTGTCTGAGAGCTGTATTCTCTTTTTAGCAGGAAAGATGTTACGCCACAACACCTACAAACACATCTCCTGGCAGGGTTTCATTTGGCGTGAAAACTCCAGTTCCATGTGGGAAATGGGGTTAGAAAGAGCAGACCGAGTAGTAAACCGACGCATCGTCTCTACAGTTAAAACATCAGTCTTATCAGAATAAGCGTCTTGACTGCTGAAGTGTGTAAAATAGAGAAAGCTGTTTAAACGTCCAACTGAAAGAAGAGTAGATGATTAACTTGCTTCACAACAGTAACTGTTGTTTTTACTCACCGGTCTAGTTTTGTTGCATGTAAATACTCACATCCTATCCGACAGTTTATTGCAGGTTGATTTGATATGAAAATGTATCTCTCTGTGTTACAACGGAAGTGTTTGAATCCATCATGTCACATCAGGAAAGATAAACCTCTGCTTCCTCAAGGAAATTCAACCGTCATCAACATGCCATGCAAAATAGTGGACACACACAGTATTATTAGTTTTCAGCCAATAACTTTTAGCAAATGACGAGGCAACATTGGATGGCAGCTGACAAATTATTATTTATTTATTATTTATTAAATTAATTATTTGGAATTTCTGCATTATTAGACACAAAGGGGTTAAGTGTGCTGATGGGGATAACTTACAGGGGGAGAGCGTGGCACATTTTATGGACGGCAGGACAACTCGAGTTTATTAGTGTAGCACTTTTCAACAGCAAGGCACTTCACAGTGCTTTACATAAGACATAAAAAAGGCATTAAAGTAATACTTCACCCATAAAATGACAATTTGTAGATTAATTGCTCACCCTGTGTTACCTTGAATTCTCACACAACTCATGCAGTGTAATCCAAGTCTTATTTATCCAGTCGTATGTGCCCTCCTTCACAAACACATGCATCTCCACTAAAAGCGTACTATTTAAAGGACTTTCGCATAAACAGTCTCACACTTGGGGAGTCCATATGAGACGAGAGGGTTTGAAATATTAAGGTTTTATCGAACGTGCATGTGTTTGGGAAGTATAGCGAGCATATGACTGGATAAATGAGACCTGGATCATAACGCGCTGGTGTCAAACGCGGCCCCCCATTTTCTTCAATTCATCAAGACTTCTTCTCCGTGGAGGCATGCAAGAAATACAAAGTTTTCCTCTGGAATTCAAGGCAACGCGGGGCGAGTAATTGATACACAAGGGGTCATTTTGGGTGAAGTATTCCTTAAAGACAGGATTTAAAAGAAAAAAAGACGCATAAATAGTGTTTAAAAGAGTAAAATAAAACAATATGTAATTGACAGTTTAGTGGTTTATAGCACTGTCCTCCCTTGATGCTTTACCTGTTCATCGATAGAAGCACACAAGTCATAGTAGTCGGTATGTTGTCTCTGATCCGGTATTTCAAGTACACAAGTGTGACATTAGGATCAGTTAGCTGGCAGACTGTGAAACCACACTGCTCCCACCAATGTAGAAGTGAAACTCAGTGTACACCCATGTGAATAACCCCTCATGTCTTTTCCAAACACTGCTTCGATATGTGCCCCTTCCACTTCTTCTTCTTACTATGAGTACCTCTCCCTGCCACTCTGACATACTACTGTGTACTCTTTAATATTCCATCCACTGAGCCGGCTCCAAGATGTGGATAATGAGGTTGGGTGTTAAATATGTAATGCTCAAAGTAACATCCTGATTTTCATTATCTGTCAGCTTGGCTGAGGCTTAGAATAAGGCAGCGGTAATGTGATTCTGCCACGGGATTCACAGCCCTGTTAATCTATCTGCACATGAAATGAATGAATATCAAATGAGAAGGGCCGAGGTGTTGAGTGTCTGCCTCTTTGGTCTCCGACGGTGGTAAGAGTTGGACTGTCTGTGCGTATCAAATGATTTTAATGCTAACATGGCACTATTGTACACTGCCTAACAAATAGATTGGATGCCGTAATGTTTTGGAATAAATGTCAAACCAGTTAAAGTAGTGAAGCAATGATTTGTCAGTAGTAGTGTCATGAGCCATCTTCTCCCCATGCCACGTTCGTCCATTCCTAACCATGAGGTCCATGTCTTTCTTTGTGTGTGACTTCTTTCCACACTATCTCTCTCCTGTCTGTCTTCTACCTCCTCTCTCTGTCACTGTCATGCTTTCCCAGACCTATGATGACATAGATTTAGAGAACGAGCCTTGGTATAAGTTCTTTTCCGAGCTGGAGTTTGGGCGGCCGGTAAGTCAGGGCCTTAGCTACCCCCTCAACCACAACCCTGCCATAGGCAGACACCCACCTTCTCCACTCCACCCGTGATCTTTTTACTTTAATAGACTGGGTGGGGCTAGTTGTTTGGGCATGTGGTACTTGTTGGGTGCTGTGACCCCCCCCCCCCCCCCACCCTTGTGACAGGCTGTGTTATGTCTCTGTGTTGCTGGGTTTCTTTGGTCTGGTGGCTAGCAGGCACTGAACTTTTCAACGCACAAACCTGGATCATTTTTAATTCAGTTTGGTGCTGCATCTTGCCCAAATATAAGCAGGAAAAAGGTTAAAAAGACAGTGTGCTCCAGATGAACTGGTAGAGCTGCACAGAACAGTCAATCAACCAATCATAACATGACAATATATATGCAATAGATGAGTTTTCTAAAGACGAAAAGTATAATTTTGTCTGTGCAGTGTTTCTTCCACATCTCTTGCACATGCTACCATCAATTCCTCGTCCTTGTGTATATATAGCCGTACAAGCATTTCTGCTTGTAGTTTTGTTTATTTTCTCTATTGGTGGAGCAATGCTTTGCTTGTCTACAAGCATAATGCTGTAGCGCCCTCTGCTGGATGTAGGTAGTAATAGCGTCCTAGTGGCTCAGGGCAGGGATCGCCTCTAGCCACAGATCTGGGATCAAATTACCCTAACCTAACTGATTTACAAAGTGTCGTGCCTCTGTCCATGCCACAGCATGACATCAGGTGATTGTTTGTTGGGCTTATTCAAAAATGTTCAGGTTGAAAACGTCACATGTGGTGCTGGCATGACTTCCCAGAGTCATGTTTGCTGTGTGTTGAGATTTCTACCTGCAATATTTTGAATGTTTCACACCACTGAATAAGCCCTTAGAGCGTAGATGGTTTCCCTACAATGCACTGACTGGGCCAGCTGGGACAGAACCTCACAGGATGATCAGTGTGTGAGTGTTTTTTTTGAGGAAGAAGTTTCGACCGACTGAGTGAACAGTTGTTTATCTGCACTAGTAAGTAACCCAGCACTAAATCACAGCATTTGACAGTGCCATTCACTGCACTCTGAAATAAACACTGCAGCTTGTGCTTCACTCTGCTTTCTGCTTCACAGCTTGCTCTCACACTCTGCATGTGTGTGTGTGTGTGTGTGTGTGGTACATGAGCACATTTTTGTCTGTGTGTGTGTGTGTGTGTGTGTGAGGTATAAAGGTTGATTTGACATACTGTAGTTTTAATGTTGTTTTGAGATAAGCATAGGAATGAAAGATCAATAGATGAAATAAGAATGTGCATATGAATGAACATGTATAACGTGTTGGTGTGTGTGTGTTTGTTAGTGTGTGTTGAGTGCGTGCACATGTGTGCATTGTACATGCAAAGCACATTAGTTTGTGAACTAGTCCATCTCTGGTTACTCTGATTCTCTAACGAGTGTCGCTCTCTCCACATGTTCCTCGTTTTTTGGTTTCTCCCCATGATGTCACCACTGCTTCGCCTCCTTCACCTCATTTTCACCTTCTTCCTATTCCTCCTCCTCCTGCTCACTGCTGCTTGGGGCTCAAGCCTCCTAAAAAACGGCTGGATTATAATCCAGACATCTCCGCTCGCCAACGTATTGAGGTAATCTCACATTCATGAGTGTTCCAGTAGTGTTGTTAATCTCACCGTTTCTAACAAGTCATAGCAATTCTCTTTTATTTAAGGAAAATGTAAGGTATGATTTCTTAAAGTGAGTGTAATGTAGTGTAGCATCACTTTAGTGTGATCATACGTCACAATGTCAGCCATCCACCACGAGATGAGCATGATGTTGCTAGACTGTTGAACTTATAGCTTTGAAATGCTATTCATTTCTTTGCATGGGGTTGTATGAAAAACATCTGTCTCCTTGGACATTTTATGATCCATCTTTTTTTTTTTATATAATTCACTGGAAATCTTTTTTTTTACATTTCCAACATTATGTGTTTCGATTTCACGGTCAGCATTTCCTCAGAGAGGCCATTGCAGTTAAAGTGTCTCCACCATTCTTTACCACTAAGACCCATTCCGGCTGATCCATGCCACATTTTGCCCCCTGAGCTCGGCTCATTGCATCCTTTGCTATATCACCTTTGCCGTCATCCTCCAGAACAGCCCAAGAGAGAGCAGAAATGTATCCTCACCGCTTACACCGGTAGGCCTCTTCCCGCTCAGGTGTGCCATGTGGAACCAATATCCGTCGCACCTTACACCGGGGGAGCGTTTTGAGTGTGACACAGCAACAACAACCGCATGCAGGCTGTGCACTGTGAGCTGCTCTGCCTCAAGTCTTTGTTCTTGCGGACCTCACTGTTGTCTCTTGTCGTCTGCCCTATTTCAGACATCCCTGCACATCGCTCCTGCTCACAAGGCTCCTGAGAGACCTGCAAGGTAACCTCTGTTTCTTTTATTTGCCTCAGCATCGCCCCCCCCTTCCCCCTCCCCCATCCTCTCAACAGCAGTGTTGCTTGTTATGATTCAGCAGGGAGTCACAACTGCTCTTTCTCGCCTTGACTCTGGTGCAAATAGCTTCTGTGTCTGTTATTAATAATGCAAGGATTAGTGTTCGGCTTTATTTTCCTTTTGCCACTAAAGCAGAGGGCGCTTTGCATCATCCTTTCACTGACTGAGCCGGAATAAATGAACCCAGCAAACCTATTGATTCTGCCCTTCACCTCCTATCCTTCCCTCAACCCCCACCTCTTCCTCCCCTTGTCCTACTCCCTTTCACCAATGGCCTGCTTATTCAGTCGCAATTTCCTCGGCGAACAGAAAGGGACAGAAATGGGATGAATGGGCCGTGTAATTCATGTAAGCGACATTGAGTGTGTTTGTTCTGAACAGAAAGCCTGTTTAGTCATTTAGAATGCGAGAAGTTATGGAATCTTTCCGGACACAAGGATAATAGCCTAGTTTTTAGAAGGATAAGCTTAGATATACTTAAACATTAGTACATAAATGTAAAAAAGTTTCACATGAAAATACCTAAAATGTTTTAGAAAAGAGAAAATTATGTTTTATAGTGTTTTCCTGTTGTTCACAGAGGTAAATGGAGATGCTCATTATTTATCATATTTATTTGATTATCATATTTTGGTACATGGCATGTATTGATGATACCAGAAACAAACACATGCATGCACCAGTGACGGTGTATCGTGTGGTGCTTGATGTCTGACTGTGTTGTTGCAGTGCTGCCAGCGACTACAGGAAGAGAAGGAAGTCTGAGCCGACGAGCTCCCAAGTCAATGCTCAGTCTCAGAGCAGAGCTGCAACTTCCCCTAAACCAGTGGACGCCTACAGACCCAGCAGCAGCCTAAAGAAACCGGTGGTTCATTCCTCACCGTCCTCGCCCTCCAGAGCCAAAGGTACACACACATACACACAAACATCTCCTTTTCACTTGATTTTTTTTTATTTTGCCCCTTCTCTTCCCCAGATTGTCGTATGTACTTACTTACCGTATCGCCTGAAAATCAAAGAAGATTTGTTGTCGTTTTTGATTGTGATGTTTTTCGGAATACAATGTCTGTCTGGTGAGGTCATAAGTGAGGTCATAGGTCATAAGTATTGGTGGAAGTCTGAAGAAAATACATAAGATCCTCTTTTTTCCGCCTTTACTCTTTTTTCTCCTACTTCTCCCTCTCCCCAACTCCTCCCTCTCCCCAGCTCCTCCACCCTTTTTGCTGGGTACTATTGCTAAACATGCTTTCCTCCTTTTTCTCTTTCACCACGCTGCTTTTTATTGGACATCTGAAAGGTGGGGACGCATGCAACATGTATTCAAACAGTTTGACCTCCCCAGGTCCTTATCATCTCCCCCCTGTCCCCTCCGACCCTGTCCAATGCCACGAGGAAGCCAGTGAGGAATGCAGCTCCTCCTCCAAGCAGTCTGTGTGTTGTAAGAACAGTTGGCAGACGAATTGCAAGGATGCTGAGACATGGAGCAGTGCAGATGAGGTGCCACCTGTCCCTGGCAAGCTCAAGTCACGCAGCTGTGATGACTTACTCAATGATGGGCATTCTGGCTCAGGCGGGCGCAACGCCACCCGCTCAGAAAGTGCTGGGTCCCTGGTTTGCGATGGGAATCCCTCAGGTTCGACTGGATCCATCTCCACCCGCTCGCTGCCTCGCCTCCATCGGCGACGGGCGCACGATTCACCAGGCTTTCTCCAGCTCTATCGCAAGATGCACCAGATCGACCGAGCTCATCTCATCCCATCTGACGTCATCCGCTCGGTCCGCGCTCGCATCCTGGAGCTAGAGGGCCAGCCTCACCTGCATCGGCATCGCCTCTCTCCTTGGACGCCCTCTTGGGGCATGGAGGTGCCACGCGATACGGTGCCAAACCGCATTTCTGCATATGAGCTCCTTATTCAGAAGTCCAAATCCATGCCCAACTTGGGTGATACTGAGGTGCCTTCAGGCGCTACCACGCCAGGCGGCTCGTCCTCTCGAGCCAGCAGCGGCGGCGGTGTCACACCCAGTTTTCCGAAACGTCGTTTTTCCATAGAGTCTTTACTAGAGGAAGACAGCAACGGCAACAGTGGAGCAGTCCCTCACACCATGGATCACCGGCATCAGCCTCGTAGCCCACCTGAGGGCCAGCCTCGTGTTGGGCCGGGGCCCAGCCGTGGGCGGTCCTTTCCTGCTCCTCCTGTTCCTCAAGGCCCACAAGCCAACCCAGACTACTCTGACAGTGAACAAGACGCTGTTGCGTCAGACCTCAGCGACTTCATCCAGGCGGAGGGCTCCTCATTTTGCAGTGAGAGTGACTTTGACCATTGCTCACTGACCTCCTCTGAGAGCTTGTACGGCTCTTCCAACCTTCACCACCACCACCTCCGTCATCAGCACCACCATCACCACCAGCACCCTGGTCACCAAAGTTTAGGCCAGAGCCAGGGCTACCAACACCGCCACCTCATCAGCTCCTGCAAAGGCCGCTGCCCGGCTTCTTATACCCGTTTCACAACCATGCTTCGCCATGAGAGAGAGCGAGCGCGCCAGCAGCACCAGAGACCTCCACAGCAGAGCAGCCATTCCCAAATCCAGAGCTCACAGTCCCAGCAAGCAATGTCCAAGCTGGCCTTCCTGGTCAGCCCAGTGCCTTTCCGCAGGAAAAAGGGCTCCCCGCCTACCTCCAGAAGAAGTAGTGGTGGCGCAGATCGAGGTGGCAGACCCAAGTCCAAACAGGCCATTTATGATGCACTAGATGCAGCCTTGAGAGACATATATGAGCACATTCAAGCAGAGCGAGGCCACAGAGGAACGAGGGCACCCGATGATAGCATCCTGAGGAGAATACTGGCCGAACTGCTGCCGAATGTGCCTGAACGAAGCTCCTCGTTGCGGGGGAGGAGGGGTTGTTGGCAAGGGGGGCAGTTCTCTGCATCTTTGTACCCAGATGGGAGCCCCACTGAGTACGCCTCACATAGAGGGGATCCCTCCACACCGCGGATACAGTCACCAATCAGTGCCTGTTACGGACGCCACTCAGACACCGCAAACAATAACGAATATGGAGAGGAGCAGGGCAATGGAAACGGTCTCTGTTATTCAGGTGGAGATAATACACGTATTACACCCCCGTTATGCATGAGTACACTTAGTCATACCAGCACATAGTGTTTTCTTTGACTAAACATACAGTAACGAACATATACACATTATCCACCTACATTTACCTCAATGTCTCTTTCAGCATTGCATGGGCCTGTTGCTCAATCGGTCAGCCGATACATCCTTTACTGTGCTGTTCTGTGTATGAGATTCAGTAAGAATGTTTACTGTAAATTCTCAAGTAAAGCCTGGTGTTAAAATATCTGCCATTCTTTTGCTCTGTGATAAGCTAACGTCAGTGAAACTAAACCCGTCCTGCTGGTGTTTCACATTAAAGGTCTGCTTCTAAAATGGGAGGATTAGGCTTTTTGAGCTGCTGGAAACCCTAATTTGCAACATAAAAAGAAAAGCTGGATTGACAGTAGCTTAATAGCTTGAACAAAACAACGGCAGAGTGGGAAGAATTTGAATTAAATAGTGAGGGGGAACAATATTTCTCATAGAAAGAGAAAATCAGAGTAACAGAATAGTAAGTAAGAGCAGTTCAGAGATATATTTGTCTCAAATGAAGGCCTGAGTTTTACTGTAATTGAGGCAAATCATTATTTGAGAATTCACAGTTTATTACTCTGGTTGAAGTTAATACATGCGAATATTCCTCTGTATGTTTATCATTTGATTATTGGTTTGGTTATATGATGTGTTTATGGAGTCGTCTTTCTGTCCCACAGTCATGCTTTCCTTCAAGCCATTTGCTTGTATGTTCGTGTTTGTATATTTCGTCTTCCCCTCTTTTCATTTTGTGTTTTCAGCAATATTCAACGGCATGTTTCATATTGTGGGAATTACAATCACCTTGTTTTTCCAGTGAAATGGAAATAAAACAATCTTTTTTTGACCCCGGAGCTTTCATTCCCTCATTTACTTGGTTGGAATGGTGTCATTTCATCACTGTTACCATTCAGTACTTTCGCCAAAGCACATTTCTGTATTGTGAGCATGCATCATGTGATATGATTGTGCTTACTACGGTAACTCCTGTTACCTTTCTCACGTGTCTCTGCTAATCACAGACCAGGATGTCTCCAGGTGTTACTCCACCATGGATGGACGCCACACACCCCAGAGTGGAAGGCCTACTCCTGACAAAGAGGTACAACGTTGAAACTTTTGCTAGTATTCTCAACACCAACATGCACTTCATTAGGAGTACTAAGTTGTCTTTAAGTATCTTTTCTCTAAAATAAATCACAAATAACACCTCAGCTTTATCTTGGGTAAAATAATGTGGTTGGCACTATACAAATATTTCAGAATAAATTCAACCAGCTACTATGTTTTTGTTTTTTTTGTCTTTAGCATCACAATGCCACAGCACAGTTACATTTTCTCACAAATATTACAAAGCTTTTATTTTATGTTTTGCCTGGTAATGCTTACCGGCTTTCTTTCTCTCACTCTCATCTCCTAGGTCTCCCATAAACAGATGACACAACTTATTCTGTTCTCTCTCCTCCATCAGAAACAGCCTGCGAGAGCCATTTATGATTTTAAGGCACAAACAGCTAAGTGAGTACAGTAAATGCACAGAGCACGCACAAGGAAGCTATAGCTTTAAACCGCGAATGCCTAACTGCACATCAACACATCTCCACTCATTGCATTTAAGTTACGATTTCAGGTTTGTGTGCATTTTTTTGCATCAAGATTCTTTTGCTTTCTAAGAAGCTTCACTGTCACATCTTACCACCACACCTGGATGGCTTTAACTGATTTATTTTATGCTTTAAATGAATGCATGAATAAAGCTTATTTTGGCTGCTTCAGTGGCTGACATGCTGTTTGTATGAAATGAGCTGTGCTGGGTTTTTTTCGGTTCATGTCTCCTTCACGTTTGTGTGCTGGCACTTTGATGACATGAATGTGTTACAGGGAGCTGACATTTAAGAAGGGTGATGCAGTGAACATCATCCGGCAGATAGACAACAACTGGTATGAAGGAGAGCACCGTGGACGGGTTGGGATATTACCCATATCATATGTAGAAGTGAGTGTGCAACTGATAAACTGTATGCGTTGCGAGTACTATGTCTATGCACCATTATGTGTAATTTGTCCCTTATTTTCCCGCTGTCTCCAACACACATTTACACTAACGCACACTTAAACAGAGGATGCCATCGTCAGAGAAGCAGCAGCCGATTCGTCCTCCTCCGCCAGCACATGTCCGAGAGATCGGCGAGGGAGTAGCTCGCTACAACTTCAATGCCGATACTAACGTGGAGCTGTCACTGAGAAAGGTAGCCTGTTTATTGTGTGTGTGTGTGTGTGTGTGTGTGTGTGTGTGTGTGTGTGTGTGTGTGTGTGTGTGTGTGTGTGTGTGTGTGTGTGTCAATGAAAAGCTGCAGCAATGCAACAATTCCTCATGAAAGTATTCAAAACCGTTACATAACCTGTCAAAAGATGCAAGAAGTTCTCAAAAGAAAGAGAAAGAAGAAATCATCCAGATGTAAACAAAGCATGAAACTAATCAGTTGTGTGATGATGTGTTTGATGTTGCTATGATCACACAGAAGTGTGAGAGGTAGTACTGTGGAGTTGTGTTTAACAGTGCTTATAGTCACAGTTAATCATGTCTATTGTGTGTGTGTGTGTGTGTGTGCAGGGTGAGAGAGTAATTGTGATAAGGCAGGTGGACCAGAACTGGTACGAGGGGAAGATCCCAGACACAGCCAAACAGGGCATCTTTCCTGTGTCATACATCGACATCGTCAAGCGCTCCCCGACCAAGAGTTCCAGCCACCATATAGACCCACATGGTTACCCTGGACACAGGACACCAAGCTCTACACCCGTCAAGGTAGGGGCATCACTACAACGTTGTGACAATAGAATACAACAAACCAATAAAGAGCTTTAAATGTCCGACCAGCAATTTCAAACTAATTAGAATAAAGCATTGATTCATTTGTAATTTGGGGGCATTTATTTACGTTTCAGAACCAGAGTGTTGGTTAATAACAAAAATTACAAATGCCAACAAACATTATACCTCTTCAAAAAGTAACATGTCTCCAGTTTAGTAAAATAGTTTATGTTCATATATTTAGATAAATACATCATCTGCGTAAAGGAGTACATACAGCTCTTTATTTCTGACACACACAAACAAAAAACACACTCTCTGTACTCTCTGTTCCACTTTTATAAATTACACTGTTCCTTCTTTTTCACTTCACCTTCATGGAGCCTCTCTACCATCTACCTCCATCCTCCGCTACTCGTGACCTCCCCTCCCGTCACCCCCCGTTGAGAAGGCTTGACCTGCAAGCTATCACCAGCGAGTGGCTGTCCCTCACTTTGGACCCTTCAGCGTCCACTCCCGCTTGCTCCCTCACAACCACCCCCGTACCGCCTACACCACCCCCCCTCCCCACTGACCTTGCACCTTTCCTCAAGGCACAGGGACCTAAGGCACCCTCACCTGCGCCATCAAAAAGAGTCTCCGCCCTGCCGCCCCAGAGATTTTCCATAACTTCTCCAGGGAGACTCACTTCAGTTGCCCTGCCTTTCTCTCAACCGCCTCTTCCTCCTCCTCCCCCTCCTCCTCCTCCTCCTCTCCTGCCTCATCCCTCATTTGCCTCTCCACTGCCTGACTCTTTACTGGGATACAACAGTGGCAAAGAAATAGCTCAAGCATCACATATTTCTAAGCCAGAGATTATGTCCTGCACAATGCCAGAGCCAATAAATTCACCCACGCAAGTTCCTCTGCAGGACAAGTCACATGTGGAAGTAAACAAAAGCAGCAAAGTCCCTGATGTTAAGCTGCAGGTGAAAGACCCGTATGACGAACTTTTGTCTATGATTCTGGAAGGTTCTACCAGCACAAACTTGTCAAGATTGTCTCCGGTAGATTCCCCAGCAGCTATGCTAACCAGTGAATCCCAGAGCAGGTTTAAGCTAAAAGCAGAGGAATCCCATCAGCCAGCTGTGAAGCGCTCGGCTGTAACTCCAAGCAGCGACTCGGCTGGCGTTCGGTTAGAGGTGCAGTTTCACAAGCCTGTAACAATGGAGCCGCTTGCCATCTCTTGGGGAGGGCAGTCAAAAACTCAGAGTGAGCAACCGGCCGAGCCTCAGAGACCGCCATCGGTGAAAGGAAGGGGATATACTGAGTTGTTCATTGAGGAAGACGGTGAAGCTAGAGAGGACAGAGGGGAGGATATGAAAGGTTTTAATGAGGGAGTCGGTCCACAGGTAGAGCATGGTGTGAGCTTTGGGGGCAACTCTACAGGGCCCTGGAAGTTAGATGGAGGGAAATGTTTAAAATCTTAGAAGAAATGCACCCACATTTGCCTTCTCTTAAAAAAGAGCACCAAATGCAGATTTCAGATGAATTGTTAATTTATCAATTTGTCGTGTTGCATTATCATTTACAGGCCTAGTGTTGCGTGATGTCGTTTTTTTGCGCCTGTAAAATGTGTCGCATTAAATTGTAGGATTGTTAGCAGAAAGTAGTGTACATGCCATGGACATGCTCTTCCTACTATGACAAGTGCACTACATAGTAAATAGGGAGTGATCTCGAATACAGCCAGTGTGAGGATGAAGTAGTGCACATGATGTGAGGAATAGTAGTTTTTTTCTAAAAGGACTCTGGTGTTCAGAAGAACTACCGCTTTTGTCCACAGGGACCGCCAACATCACCACAAAATATACGTTCCTTGTAGTAACTTAAATCAAAGAAGAAATATGCATTGACTCTAAAGTCTCCAAATATCGTTATTGTACAACATACTGTACACAATAAAGTAGTTTTTTTTCTTTTTCAAATCATGCATTTTTCCCTCCATGTCCTTTCTGGGGCACAATAAATATCCTCAGCATTTACCTTCTGTGTTTCATCTTCAGAATTGATGTGTGTGTCATTACCTCCATAGGCTGATGTCTCTCCCTCCACTTTGACACGGCTTCCCCCCTCCGGCCTCCCCTCACCCTCAATACCACCACCTCTAACCTCCTTACCTCCCTCTTCCTCTTCTTCTCATTCTTCTTGTCCTCCTTCTACTTCTTCTTTTACTCCTTCTTCATCTTCTACTTCTTCGTTTACTCCTCCTTCATCTTATACTTCTTCTTTTACTTCTTTTACTCCTTCTTCATCTTCTACTTCTTCTTTCACTCCTTCATCTTCTACTTCTTTCACTTCTTCATCTTCTACTTTTTCTTTTACTCCTTCTTCATCTTCTACTTCTTCTTTTACTCCTTCTTCATCTTC